AACAAAATCGATAAATGCGATTGCTTGGGCCACATCAAAAAAGAGCGGAAGTATAATTGGGTCATTAACTAAAAAGTACCACATTTGGGATAAATTTCTCGTTCTGTGGTGGCGATGGAAAGCTCTCACATTTACAGACTTTGACACTTTTACAGATTTTTTAGAAAACTAGTTTTCAGACTGATTTCACCTGCTGAAAGTACAGCTAGTTATTTATGACGGCTTAAACTATGCCCAGATGCAGTGGTAAGTCTTGATAAGCGATAATAACTGACTGACCGTCGTAAGCTGGCATTGTCACAATCTCGTTTTTGGCATTTAGCAGATTGCCGCTTGCTTCGCAGTGCTTCTGGAAGTAAAAAATAAAACAGCACTTACATGCAAATACATTTGCTAGTTTGAGTAACAACTTATGGACATCTCCATTACCCAGTGGCATCTGAAGAGCAAATGCAACCGAGTGTGCGATCATTAAAACCATTTCGACTCATTTAGGGGCAACTTCTACTTTTGGAAAATGTAGGGATAATTCAGTAGTGTGAAATTCTAAGCTAGGAGTATGATGTGTGTCATTTTCATAGCAACTGAATTTATCTCTACGACCGATTTTACCGTTTTCTCGGGCTTAAAGAAATTTAGCTGCATGTAGCAGTATCCAGATAACTTACCGCAACTGCCAGTGGTACGATAATTCTTCGCCAGTGCGAGCGCAAATTTTTCCACATGAACAGTATAATAGCAACCCAAATGAAAACTGGCATGAGCATCCAGTAAATGATCAGCATGAAAATCCATATTCTGCAACAGCACTGCTTGGATCGTCGATTTTGAAAAAAAGCTATTGACCAAAGCGGCCAATAATCAGTGCAACCGTTTCCTTCTAACGTAAAAAAAGAAATCGTTCTACTGCTCAATACGAAAGAGAATTTAGTAATGACCACCAGCTTGTAGGACGAAACGCTTTAGATATTGCAATTTGCAGCACGTTCTGCTGCTCTGGTTTGATGTGAGAAATGTTATCAAGACAATGAAGGCCAAGAAAAAGAGTT